CAGCTGCTGCACAGAACTGTAAATCTTATACATATATATATAAGCTGTTTTAACATTTATGGAATGTGTCTTTGATGAGCTTCCCGTTTATTGCTACAATGGCTTTTTCTCGATTTATGATGTCAAACACAAGAATATGGTAAGGGGGAAACTAGCTTAACGACGAGATAGGTAGTAATTCCCATTAGCATTTTTAGGTAATGAGGGCACCATCATTCAAAGTGTTGTTGTTTCTGAGTCAATTCTGACTCAGACCCAGTACTCTGGAACTAAGCTGCTGCTTTGTCTGAAAAACATTGGCACTCAATTGGTGTCATCGTGTCACATGGTTTGAAATCTTTCATGATAAGAAGTATATCCACAGTTGATCATACTTTTTCTGATTTTGGAATATCCTGCATGTATTCGTAGTCATTTGTCTCACTGTGTACTCAGACGAGGCGGAACTTCAGCCCTTCTTAATTTCAACCTGATTCATCAGCAGTAGCCAAAAATTAATGGCCCTATACTTCAACGTTGTCGCTTCCAATAGCTGAGAAGACATGCCTGTCAAATACCTTCTGTTTTTAAGTTTGTCCTTGTTACATGTTAAATTAAGCATTTTGAGAACTAGCAGATTTTACCGGAATAATCGTGTGCTGAATACAATCGGCAGAGCGAGGCTTTTCTGAACGAAGTGCTTCGAAACCGTCATATGATCAGATGGAGCTACGCGTTCTTCAGAAACAGTAATGGTTGAGGTGGCAGGCAAGGCGGTCGAGGACGTCATTTTCGTTGTTCGGTTCAAATAAATTACTATTTTCGCATTGCTGTGGCGAGGAGGAGACCCGTTGTCGGACGCTTGAACAAAAAACTAAAAAGCGTCATTCGTTTAAGTCGAACGAGTCGATTGAGGCTAACTTACCTCAATTTTGTTTTCCCTCAGGTCTGACAGCAATCTGCTGGTGCGAATAGTGCCTGTAAACCGGTCGATATCGAAATAATGTCTTGCTACGTCATCGTCGCTGATGATCGAAAATTCAACTGCGCTCTGCAGAAACAAAAGCAAATGTGTTATAGCTGATCGAAATAAATGTAAAGTGCATTTTGGCAGGGCAAACCCATGGTTCTTTAACATCATTGCTCTAACTACTCCCACGCCATCTGACAGCATTGTCAGTAATTTCATGATCTTCAACTTTTTAGGCGTGGGTACAATGTGTCAAATGTACATCACATTATTTCGTTGCATATGCGGTCTGTTGAAGCTAATGAACTTCGAAACTGAAGATGCGCAAACCAGTTTGCATCCATGAAGCGGATCTCTCAACTCAGAATCAGTTCTAGAAATCAGCAGAAGAATAATAATAGCAGACCACTTTTGGAGGATTGAAACTATTCATCTCTGAGAAGTTGCCCTCGTATCTGAAAGGGAGAGTTTTCCATCAGTGTGTGCCTCCAGTGTTAACTTACGGCACCATGGACTATAATAATGAAAGCTGATCACAGACTGCGCAACGCAGCATGGAAAGACAACATTTCAGAAATAATAAAAAGAAATGCAAAGATAATAGAATGATAGGGGTTCAAACAGGATTCCGCATTGTCATTCCCGAGCTAACAGTTTAATTTGGCCATGATCTGGACGTGCTGCCTGATGAATGAACCATCAGTGGATAAGAGAAACATCAAACTGGGTTCCAATGGTCATTCAAAGGCCAGCTATTGAAGACTTTCAAATAATTTGCTCGACGAGCTGAGAATACTTTTTTGGATAATCGAAAGACAGATATTTCCTACGGTAAGGCTGATGATGATGATGATGAAGATAATGATATTGATGATGATCAATTAAAATGACAGTACGTAGATAGAGTGTAATTCTTAACATATCTTCCTGTTGCACGTTAAAGTCAAGTGTCACCTTTACCTCAACATCCTGATCCTTTACTGAAATATTCACGACGATCGACCCTACCGCGGTGGTTTCGTCGACTGCCGCAACGTAAGTAGGTTCAGTGAACATGGGCTGAAACTCGTTAACATCCTAAATGAAGAATATTTGCCTCTGAGAGCAGAAAATAGGCGAATCAGGTTCACTCACTTCCACGAAGATCCAGACGTCTGCCGTTGCAGGTTCTTTCTGACCGACGTTTTCCATAGTTTCCACGGTCAGCTGGTGCAACTGTTGGCTTTCAGCGTCCAGATGTGTGAGAGATGAGATCAGCCCACTATGTGAGTCAATCGCGAACAGTGAGCGGTTACCATTTTTGATTTTGTACGTGACTGATTTCTTCGTTTGTTGCAGAGTATCAGAGTAAGCAGCCTAGAACACTGTGAAGATTATGATAACCGTAATTTGCCATTCAGTGTATGCATATCTGATCAATAGCTGAGTGCATGCAGACAATGTATGTCTAGAAACTGATACAATTGTAGCGAAAATTGTTAGAGTTAAGAAGATCATGTAAAGAGACAAATAAAATGGCGATAAAACATGTCATAACATTTAAAAAAATTGAAAAGCTAACAAAATCAGGTATATTCTATAAAACGTAGCCAACATTGGGCAAAGCGAGCGTAATTAACTGGGTACTGTGTGCGGCAGCTTTGGCCTGGTCTATTGTGTCGAATGTTTATTTCTTCAGGCCTCAAAAATTAATTATGATATGACGAAAACGATTAGTCACTTTCATGGCAGATGGACTTGTTTATCAATATACAGTACACAACATATAACCCTAACCCTTTTCTACCGCTACTAATCACATGTCATCAAGAAACCAAATCTCTGCAATGACGCACAGACCCTTTTATACTTTCATTGGGTTATCAAGGCTAATACGCGGGTATCAACTGCAGTGGGATCCTGCCTTGGCCCACTGATCGTCTCAGAGACACTACATAGTAGGTGCAGTACGGCAATGGCCAGCTCATAACCGTCTGGTCTATCATTCCCGCAACAAAGCATTTGTAGCCTGCAAAAAAGAAATGGAGAATGATCTACAATAAGACCGTAAGGCAAATGATGACGTCATTTGGTTTATGGTATTGAAATGAAAAAGATGATACAGTTAATATTACAACAGTTTTGATAATGACTGGTATAGTCAGTAAAATTAGAAGCCAAACAATATGACAACCTACTACCTTAACGTAAAGCAATTCTTGATATCCGGCGTTTTCTTGCACGGAAATATTGTAGCGAGTTTTCGAAAACACTGGATAATCTGGTACGCTTTCCGTTGATGAAACAATTTTTCTAACGTTGATTGCAACGTCAGTCGTCGTAGACAATGGTGGAGATCCTCGGTCGTGGACAATCACTCTCAGCGTGTACGTAGGCAATTCCAAACCTTTCAGTGCCACGGTTGCCCTGATAGTGCCGTCTGTTGGATCAATGGTAAAGTACCTGAAAAAACGTGATTATATGATAATTGTTTTTCCTGCCAGATGCAGGTACGTCTTCCGATTATGAATGATGACCGAAGCTAAATATGTCGAAAATTTGTCTACGTTAAATACAGATTTTAGTCTTTGTCATTTGAGCTTTTAACTATGGGATCAGATGATATATTCAATTTAAATCATTCATGACAGAGTTAGTGTTGATTTAAAATGCTTCTATTATCCAGTATCTACACAAACGGTGTTATTACTTGCAATAAAGGTCCAGGTAAAAATTTTCTGTTAAGTTACCCTGCAGTGTTTATGTAAGCCTCTTTGGCGCGTCTGCTTTGCCAGCTTAATACCAATGCAATATAACACTCTGGGTTCAGGCACGTCCAATTTGCGGCGTGTGTAGTACGAATTTATATCTGCTCTCATACAGCACAGAGCACGAGAAGGACGCATCGCAGATGTGTGAAAGTGCCCTCATTACTGACATGAATTCAATAAGCGTGTGGATCAAACAAGCATCAATTTTTCACTCATGTAAAAACACGAACCACGACAACGTATATTACCTCTGCATAGATTGGATAGTTCCTTTCCTGTTATTCGCCTATAAATTATTGAGGTTGTTGCATGAGTTCGCTTTACTACTCGATGCTCTGCAACAGCTGGACACATTTATTCTCTTTAGCTGGGTGAAAGTTCTTTTAATATGAATTGAAACGTCTTCAATAGTTTCTCATCGATGGGTTATGCATATTTTAACCCTGTGTACGCTGTTAATCTGTTGTTTGCTTTACCTGAATAATCGCTACCTTGATATTATTGACTATAATGAGCACAGTCAACTTACTTGTTCGGTGGTTGAATTGCGTAGGTAACCTGGCCGTTGACACCACTGTCAGCATCGATGGCTCGCACCTGTCCAATCACGCCGTCCTTAAAATCTTCATCAATGCTGAACGTGATTGGAACCCGGTTTAAAATCGTTGGAGCGCTTTCGTTTTCATCCACAACGGACAGCTGCACCCTGACGTAAGTAGTAAACTAAACCGGCAATGTCACATATGATCATATTGCTAAATGTCATATGCGACGTACGTCTTCACCACTGACTTGGAAGACCAGGTTGTAGTATGGAACCTTTTCATAATCCAATGCAACATTGGTAAATATTTCGCCGCTAAAACATGAAAATGGTCAATCAAGGCAGTTACTAATAGTTAATTTAATCAAATAACGAGAGCTAGTTTTCCGTTCGTGTGGCTCATGAATGTACGGCAAGAGCAAAGATGGATAAGATGTCTTGACTAAGTTAAACAAGAATTAATCGACATTCGTATACGGTATCGCTGAAAGATCATGCTGAATTTGAAGCAGTTGGTTAGCAGGGCTGACAAACCGGACACGACTTCAGTATCAAATAAAAAATGAATAAGTATTCTATCATTACCTAACAGATTTAATCCTTTGTTTGCAAAGTAACATTTTAACTAGGGATCTTGACTTGGGGCATACGCAAATTGTCCTAAAAGTCTACGGAATAGAATTTTCACTTATCGTTTTTTATCGTTTTCTTACTCATTGAGCCTGCGTTACTCGCAAGCCACCTAACAACGTCTTCCGTATAGAGTTTTTATGTAAATAGTGCAGCTTGCTTAATAATCATGTTAAAAATTTATGAACATAACGTCAAATAATTGATTGCTTCACGCGAAGAGGAATTATAAAATGAAGAACTCATTGAATTACAAGCAGCAAAAATTACTGAAGCTGATGTTGTTAACCAGGAGAGAAGCCCAAACGTTTTGTGACATAAAAATGAGGAACTCTTAGCAATAATGATACGATTGGAGAAAACGGTTTTTAATACTTCATCGGGTCTCAAAGTTCAAAGATCAGCAGAAAAAGCTTTGGCCAGTTATCGAAAAATTTATGAAATGAAGAAAGAAGTCACAATTCAGCCATCTCGTCATATTTCATACCAAAAACGGCCAAGTTAGACAGTTTTGTTTATTTTTTTTTATTTTTTCAGACTATTTCTACTGTATCACGCTACTCTTCATTAATAATCTTCTTCATCTTCATCTTCCATCGCCGTTCCTAGTTTCGGGTCGCGGAGGCAGACACGTCAGACAGAGCTTCCAACGTTCATAATCCTGTGCCAGAGTCTGAGCTTCGGCAAAAGACAAATAGAATCTGGAACAGACTCCTTCCATATGTTTG